CGCTCTTTCCCCCTCCCATCACACCCTGTTTTGTAGCAATGAAGTAAACTACAGGTGCATAGTTATAACAAACTGTACAAAATGCAGCCTGCAGCCCAAAGCTAGCGTTAGCTGACTAATGCTCTGGTTACTGGTAATGTCACACAAAGCCCGTTGCTGCCAAATTAATATCATATTAATCTAGTACAAAGATACAATCATGACCATGCTAGGTTGCTAATGTTACCAAAGCAAACCTGATAGATTTAGGCAATAACACACCTGAATCAATTCTCCATCTCAAAAAGTCAAACCAGTGTTAAGCCTGGTTTTTGCTCTTTCTTTGTTCAACTCTCTGTGTGTAAAACAACACAACCTCTTCAGTCTGACAGGCACTGTTTCAGACTTTAGGCGGATGACAGCACCTCCGTGGCTGGGTGTTTGAAATGACTACTCGTGATTTGAAAAACACTTCTTATAACCTTCACTAGGTGGCAGGCAGGGCTGATTTATGGACTGTACTGTGACAACGCAGAGTAGAGAAGAGGGATTAGCAGCCTAAATTCTGGAAGCAGCAGAATGTCATGGAGTGGGGTAGGATAGAGGAAAAGCACCATAGGTGAACCCCAGTTCCCCTAAAACTGACTTCTCATACAGTCTTTCTGTTGCCTTAATTAAAATCTGAAGACTTACACACCAGACTTGTGCCAAAGCCAGTGGCAGGATGCTGTATTTTATTCCCTTGGTTCAGATCTATACAGTAGATTCTCTGATGCTGTAGCTCATCGGTCCTTCCACCAGCTCCAGCTCTGCTCATCTTCTGAGTGCCTCTGTGTGTGTATTGACTGTACTCCTATCTGATCTATGGTTCTCTTTTTCTGCTCCTTCCTGCCCACCTCCTGTTTTCCTTCCTTTAACCTGCCTCTGTGTGTGCTGATCTTTGCCATCTGGCCTTCACCTCCTCTCTTTTCCCTGCTCTTGCTGGGGCTAGCTGAGGGAGAGAGACTTGTTCAGGAGCGCTCGGTTGGTGAGTTTGTAACTTAGAGAGGAATCCTATGGTTTGTTCACACTTTCCTGGTGGCATGGCTGTGCATGCTAACCAAATAACTGCATTTCTTTTGCTGGCTTTCTCATTACTCTCACTGGCAGGTTTGCTTGCTTAAGCACATAGCTGCTGGACATATTGTATAAAATATGCATTTCTCAATATTCACTAGGCAGTACTTAGTTTTGCAATTTGCTTGTGATTTTTTAAAAATGTATGTATTTATTTTTTGTCCAGCATTACTTTACAGCCATAATATAGTATTGACTTATATGTATTTGAAATTCAAAAGAACTAAGCAGTATGCAACAAGATCTAATCTTAGTTTCTTCTTGTCATAGTTAAATACTGCAAAACCATGTTATTGGATCAACCAATACAAATTTCAGTGATAAACAATAGGACTATGCCAAGAGAGCAGTAACATTGTGGATCAAAAATAATGCAAACTGAAATATGTACCCATTCATTTGAGTTTCACTGGTCATTCCACTTTTCTTCTTTGTATTGAATGTTTTTCCATTTATATTTTAGTGGTTCATCTCATTCATTTCTCTATTTTGGTCAGATGCTTTCCACTCTCCACTATCATGAGTCTTGTCTTGTGTCTATCATGTAACTAAAGACCTCTCTATCTCTTCTTTGTCCTCCACAGCCCAGAGAGAAAGGCCGCATGCGATTCCACAAACTGCAGAATGTACAGATAGCACTGGACTTCTTGAAGCACCACCAGGTATGACTGATAAAATAATACTGTGAACCTTGAAAACGTGACTGAATAGTGAGAATGCCTTGTCACTGCATAACTGATTGCATCTGTTACATTTATTAAAATAATATGATTGTTTTTGTTTTGTTTACCCAGGTCAAGCTGGTTAACATCAGAAATGATGACATAGCAGATGGAAACCCCAAACTAACTCTGGGGTTAATATGGACCATCATCCTCCACTTTCAGGTCTCCACCACTGTCAGTGTTGTGTTTTATTATATTATCACTATATACCTCTGTCTCTGGGATCTGCACCTGTCAGCTGCCATTCTCCTCGGGACAATCAGAGTGGATTCTGCTCTTCCAAATCTTTTCTAATCAAAATGGGATCATTCTTACCATGTTCCTGGTGTCTACGGTGTTCGAGGTGTTTAAGGTTATGATAAAATACTTACGCCACAGTCAGGTATTTAGTGGCCTGTGGTGAATTTAGGAACAGTATAAAGAAATAAAACAATATTAGGGTGTGAACATATGAATCACCCTCTCCCTGAGGGGAGGGTGTGTCATCCTACTCATACTACACTCCATGCCATGCCCTTTAATATCAGATGATTCAGGTTGATGAAAGCTCAGGCTTAGAAAAGGAAATAAAAGAGAGTGCTGTGGTTTGGATAGGTGATCTGGTGAAGCTATTGTGCCCTCTGGATACATATAATGTTTCCAGAGTCTGTATACTATGATAGAATAGATGAGGAAAGTAGCTGGGTTGTGGTTGCTGATGAGTCAGAGAGATTAAAGTAGAGAGTAAAATGTCTCTCTTATGTAATTTAGCATTAGATCCCACAATCTGATCACTGTAAGTTAATTTCATTTACAGAGATAAAGATAGTTTATATGCAGTCATATTAGCAGACATCTATCATTTATAGAGTTTATATACTGTTTGTTGAGGCAGGTAAGAGAGCCTCAGGTTGGATGAAGTAACTGCAGATTTGCAGCGTAGAGCTGTGAGAGGACGAGAAACTGAATAGCGCTTGCACATGTGTACACACTCATTTATACACAGATGAGAAATGGAAAACTTGATGCCTGTGACTCATGGTTTCTATCCCCAAATTCCCTAAATGAAAACTTGTCAGGATGCCACAGCCTCAGTGGCTTTCTCCCAGACAGAAGTGCTACTGTATCCTGGGAGCCAAGTCAGCAACAGTAAACACTTCACTACTGATTTCCTAATAAATACTGCATATAATACACTAATAGGCAGCTCAAACTCAAGACATATATCATGTCAAAAAATGATAAGTCTTAACTGATCTGGGACTAATGGTGGCATTAAGTTACCTTAAAAATTACCTTGGTGGGGAGTAATTCAGTTGAAATGGCATCCTTTGGTTTCCACTAATGACTAATTTCTTGCACATTTCTTCAGTATACTCATCAAATCGTCTGCCCTCCTTTTGATTAACTTTCCATCTGTGTGCATACTGTATGTTGTCACAGATCTCAGATATTCAGGTCAACGGCCAGTCAGAAGACATGACAGCTAAGGAGAAGCTGCTGCTCTGGTCCCAGAGGATGACAGACGGCTACCAGGGCATCCGTTGTGACAACTTCACCACCAGCTGGAGGGATGGCAAACTCTTCAATGCTATTATACACAAGCACTAGTGAGTATGGCCAATTTATTGCTGAGAAATAATCTCACAGCATTAAAACAAATATAAAAAGTGACAGAAAAGCTTACTGCCAGTCATTGCAACGGCATCAAAGCATCCTATAATGGAGTGCATATAAACAGCATATGCCCAATTCCACACCCACTCTGTCAGACTAACAAGAATATATCAATGCTTTCCCAAAATATGCTTTTTGCGATACTGCTTGTGATGCTAGACCTCCGTCCATTTGTTTTATTGTCTGTGGAGTGTAATGGAGCCGGAGTGGGACCTTGGCACACTTTCAAATATCAGCTTACACTTGATACCATGATACCAGATGACATTTGCCCTGTAATTAAATTCGGCTGTGTTTGACAAGATGTCTTCTCCTTAAATAATTTTAGGCGCAATTACAATGACATGGCTGTTTATGGTATTACACTGGATTAAAATTAGTAGTGTTATACAGATTTATAGTGCAAGGCCTTGGTATAGTTGCACATATTATTTTGCACATATGCTTGGATTTTAAAAATGTCTTTTCTCGTTCTCTCTTAATAAAACCCGTCTTAATGCCCCTCCATCAACATTTCAGGCCTTTAAGCAGGTGTTGGCTCTGTGTGATGCTATACTTTCTTTCATGCTGTGCCAAGATAATAATTTTATAAGAATAATAATAAATAGAAATAGTTGGGAACCTAGTATTAAAAGGTAAAATGTGAAACCCTTGTTGTTGAACAATAAATATGCTAATTCCCCCACAGCTGCTATGTGTGTTTACAGTAGAATTAGTGGTTAAGGATTGCTCTGTGTGGTAGTAAAATGAATGCGCCTTTATTTCCCAGGAAGATTTGTCGATACGTTTTGCCATTGGATAGTTTTCTTTTAGACATTATAAAAAGGGATTTATGCAGAGTCCATAGAGCAAACTGGAGAAAAGCAGTATTGAAAAGTAAAAGCTTGTGAAAATGTAGTTCTTTAGAGCAATTATGAATTGAAAGAAAAGAGATGCCTGCAGGAACAAGTCAAACTTAAACTTGAGCATGTTTCCACAGTGTTTTTTCTCTCTTTGTTACCTTTTGGGATGCACCTGAGGCTGGGTTGGTGCTGCCTTTCATAAGGGTCAGGGGTGTGGTATGTGGGTGGAACCATAGTACTCTGTGTCTTCTGCATGAAATCTGTGGTGTTTCTTCGTGCCTAGACAATTCAGGGTGACCTAGTGCAGGATATGTGTTCATTCAGACAGTTCAAGATTGTCCAGGGTTCACGTGTGTGAAGGTTTACAAACTGGATTTTAAAAACTACAGCTGAATTTTCATGTAGAGAAACTTGATGGAAGCTGTAACTAGGCTGAACCACCAGGAGCCTTTATCGTCTTAGCATATGGATTAAGAGGATCTTCTCATAATGATGGACACCTGGGACACCTGGGACAATGCATAGGATGGATTTACATACAGCCATCAAGACATGATTTGTTTACATGAATGTAACACCAGCCACTAAAGCATAACATTTTTTCTTACTGCCGGACAAGAACCCTCTGGCAGGTTTTAAGATGCTCAGTGTAAGGAAGAAGTCCAAACGTAAGGGAAGCCGAGGCTTTATGAGCAGTGTGTCAGGATTTGTCAGCGACATGGATGGCCGGGTGGTCATGTTATGTGAAGAAATCCCATCAGAGGGATCATCCTGGGATTCAGGGCAGGGTTCTCACAGCTCAGGGGTGCACTCCAGCAGTGACGACCTGGGCCACAAATGGAGGTCTCGTAGCTTTCAGGGAAGAAAGACTCAGAGCATGAGCAGCTCCCCTAGGCCAACAAAACAGTACTCTGCTCGGGAAATCCACCATGTGGAGTCCTCTCCTGTTTCTGGAGAAACTGCTGGCCATTCCACTCTTTGCATCAGAGAGCTGTATGAATCTGCTTCCGTTGTTCCTTACTAAATATCATAATTAATGCTGCAGAGATATGTATTGCACATTTGAATGTGTGGATTAGGTAATACATTTACATATAAAATTGTTATAATTTATGTATTTACTATGATTCAAAGTTCAGTAATATTCAAGCATGTATACATGATAGGTGATTGATGAGATTCTGTGTTGCATTCAAGCTGTTTAGACCCCTGGAGACATGAATTTTATCTCTTCTGTGAGTCAAGGTGTGGCTGGCTTTATAAATTACATTCCACCTACAGATGCTCAGACATCAGCCAGAGTTAAACACCTAGAGGATAAAAAGGCAGGTGCTGGTATAGGTTAGTCAGAAAGTGAAAAGTTGGGCCCTTTTTGAGCATATAGCTACTGGCAGAGCAAGGCACATCCACTGCTACTGATACAGTGTGTGTCATACTGTTTAAGTGAGCAGGCCTGTACAGAGTGAATTCATTCTGCATATGTGTCCATGTGTTACATTTTGCCCTCTGCTATTCCATTTCCTATGTTTTGACTTTAACAAGACTCTTGGTTAACAAGTGTCCATTTTTTCATCCCCTAGTCCCAGATACATAGACATGAGCAAAGTGTACAGACAGAGCAACCTGGACAACCTGGAACAGGCCTTCAGTGTGGCTGAGAAAAACCTGGGAGTGACACGCCTACTGGACCCTGAGGGTAAGACTGGCCCCCGTTTCTTAATACTGAGAGTAGTTTTATTCAGAATTGTTATGGTCTATAATGCAACTGTACAGTATTAATACAAATAACTGGCTGTTATTAATTTGCAATATGAACTATTGAGATGGCATATAACACAGTTTCACCCTCTCCTCTCAGATGTCGATGTCCCACACCCTGATGAGAAGTCCATCATCACTTATGTATCATCCTTGTATGATGTGATGCCTCGCGCTGACGTGCATGACGGCATCAGAACTAATGTAAGTGCAACATGTTTTATGCCATAAGTCATGGTTGATGCACCACTCCAAAATATTTGAAGAGGGCTTTAAATAAATGTGCTTCAGAGTAACACAAATGTTTGACCTGATTTGATCTGAGTGAGTGCTCGACCTGCACAGGCTTGTGACTGCTTATAAATAAACTTTTGTGTGGACTATTTCCCAATGCTATCAGAAGTTCAAAGAGAAATAAAAGTCTTGTGAAACCAAGTATGAAAGGAAATTAGAGACCTGTGGTGTTTACACAGCAGAAGCCAAACTGATAGGCTCACATGTATTGTCATACATGATTTGTTTACATTAAACCTACTTCACAATAGTTAATACAAACTTAGTCATGGGAATAATACTGGGCTGGAACATAATGTCCAGGTATGCTTCAACCCAAGTCCTAATCTTACTGTCTGAGAGAACTGGAGAAAAATATGCTTTTGCCAGTTTCTCTCCCACTGTCTCCTCCCCCACTGGCCCCTTCAGCCCCTTCTCTGCACTGTGCCTCTTTGTCAACTTACACAAGACTGGGATTGTTGCAGCTTAATTGATTTGAATGTGAAGTGCAAGTTATTGAACATGGAGACACAGGAGAAGTCTGTTGTTGTTAACCTCCCAGCTATCTTTTCTGCCATGTGGGCTGCAGGAGCTGGAGCTGCGTTGGCAGGAGTACTATGAGCTGGTGACTGTTCTGCTCCAGTGGATCCGCCACCATGTCACGATCTTTGAAGAGAGGAAGTTCCCTGCCAGTTATGAGGAGATAGAAGTGAGTAGACATGCTGACAATATGCAGACAAAAGCACACACCATTCATCGCTGGATCAAAGAACATGCTTACATAATGTCTGGCTTTGGCAGACAGAAGAAACTGTATTCAGGAACACTGTTGTACTGTTTTTTTCTTTCTGCCAACAGAAATGTTTACTTCAGAAGATAAAGCATCAAATGGATAAAAAACAGAAAGTATGAATTGCCATTTTAAATGTTTTTGTGTACTTGTTCTTTAGCTTCTTTGGCGCCAGTTCTTGAAATTCAAAGAGACAGAGCTACCAGTGAAAGAGACTGACAAGAATCGGTCTAAACTCGTCTACCAGTCCTTTGAGGCAAGCTGACCCAAATTTTGTATTCTTTTGTATTATATTATCTTCATTTAATCTCTATTATTCATTTTTTATGTCTGCATAATGCCTTGTACATTGTATTTCCACCTGCTCACAGAGTGCTGTGCATGCCGGTCAGGTGAAGGTCCCGCCAGGCTACCATCCCATTGATGTGGAGAAAGAATGGGGTCGTCTCCATGTTGCTATCCTTGAGAGAGAGCGATTGCTGAGGATAGAGTTTGAAAGGTTAGCAGAGTGGCAGATATGTAATAATGTATATGTTCCATCCATACATTATCTATACCGCTTATCCTGAAGAGGGTGGCATGGTGAGCCAATCCCAGCTGACACTGGGCGAGAGGCGGGGTCGACCCTGGACAGGTCACCGGTCTATCACAGAGCTGACACTTAGACACAGACAATCACACACACACACTCACACTCACGCCTACGGGCAATTTAGAGTCACCTGTCCGCCTAAGTTGCATGACTGGACTGTGGGAGGAAGCCGGACTATCCAGAGAGAACCCACACAGGGACAGGGAGAATAATGTAGGTTTGTAATCAAAATGTGTATAATTATTATATATATTATAATTACAAAGATAATAAAAATACAAAGGTAACAATGGGGACAAAAGGAGGTATCTAATCTTTTCTAGCTCTAGTAGCTTTGAGGTTAACCTTCCAGCATCATCAAGGTTATGGTTATCAGGGTATGTCAAAAATACATTACAGTCAAATGACTGAATCTTATTTTACAATCATAAATTTGTTGTTGCAAAATTACATATTACATCATTTTCCTGTTTTGGTAGAATATAACTTTGTTCTTTTTGGTGGACTTTTTCTTGTTTTGTGTGTTGACTTGTAACAAAATGGGAAAGATGTGTTCATCATAATTGAGCATATGAAGAGATACAATATGAAATAGGATAAGACACTGTTAATTCTCTATGTTTAGAGTAGTGTTGCATCATGTCAGGAAAATGGGCTGATTTCATGTCAGAAGGTTCTCCAGACATTTCACAGCCTGATAACATTGTTTACGGTTCTGTGAACGAGCAGACTGGATGTCTCTGTCTCAGTCTGAGCTGCTTCATGCCAGAGTATTTTCCTAAGATACAGTGAGGGTGTGACATGGAACCAAGGGTCTCACATGAGCTTTAATCTGTACAGAGTTTATTTGTTTGGCATTTGTGACTGACACTCCTAAACTGGAGTATTTGCTGCAACACAGGCGACTGTAAGTGTTTGACCAACATACTGTGAGCTATAACTTCTGCTAGTCTAAACGTTACGTACCGTAGCTGTGTAATGGAGCTGGTTGATTCTAAGGGGTATGGGAATTCTGATGTCGACTGGTGCGTACTCAGCAGTATATGACTTGAAAATCACAAATACTGAATAACAAACAACTACTGTATATGGCATACCCTATTCTGCTGCAACCTTTCTATTCAATTTTCTATAATTTAATCTTATTTGATCTTATCTAGACTTGAGAGGCTCCAGAGGATTGTCAGTAAAGTCCAGATGGAGTCTGGAGTGTGTGATGACCAACTCAACCGCCTGGAGACTCTGCTGCAGGCTGTGAGTCCTCTAGACCTCTAAATAGGTCTAACAGTTAAATTACTATACTTTGGTTTGTGTTCATTAAAAGATCATCACACACCGCTTGAAAGTCCAAGTGGTTTCTGTTTATTTCATAGTGACCACAGATTACATTTTTTCCTAAAACATTTTAAATACAGAATTCATTTGGAAAAACTTAGTAGCTCTACAGGAGCAGCAATCTGGAGCTGCTGACATCAACAAACATAGCAGTCATATTGTTTTATTCACAATATAAAGTACAGATTTTAGATCGATAGGTAGATAGATAGTACTTTGTTAATCCCCACAGGGAAGTCAAATTGTTATAGCTCCCATTGTTTGGCTCCCATCCCTGCAGGACATTCGTCTGATGAATGCTGGGAAACCACCTCAGAACACAGCAGAAGTTGAGAGGGATCTGGACAAAGCAGAGAACATGATTCGCCTGCTCTTCAATGACGTACAGATTCTCAAGGATGGGCGCCACCCACAGGCTGAACAAATGTACCGCATGTGGGTGTCATATGTATTACATTCAAGTCAGCTTCTAAACCAGTACATTTTTTCACAACACAGTTTACTTAAGCACTTAAAATGCATTTTCATCTCCACAGGGTTTTCCGCCTCCACGAGCGCCTGGTGAACTTGCGTAGCGATTACAACCTCCGTCTGAAGTCTACTATGAGCCAGTCCCAGGTTAGCCTGAAGTCAACCATCCAGGAAACAACCGTGAGGATACGGCCTGAGATGGATGACGTGACACTGCGCTATGTCCAAGACCTGCTGGCCTGGGTAGAGGAGAACCAGCGTCGCATTGATGAAGCTGAGTGGGGCTCTGACCTGCCCTCTGTGGAGTCACAGCTGGGCAGCCACAGAGGCCTGCACCGTACTGTGGAGGACTTCCGATCCAAGATTGAGCGGGCCAAGGCTGATGAGGTAGCACCCCTATCAGAACAGCTGGAAGGCATTACATCCTGTCCTGTCCAACATTAGATTTTAAAAGTAACCTTTGTGGTATCTTTCATATTCTTCAGAGCCAGCTATCTCCTGTCAGTAAAGGCAAGTACAGAGAATACCTGGGTAAACTGGACATTCACTATGGCAAACTACTGGTAAATATTTCCATTCCTTCATTTTCAACATTTTTCTGTGACTTGATTTTCAGTATTACTTGTGTGGATTTTTTTACTCAACTGTCGGCATTTTGATTTTACTTTCTTTTCCTGACAGAACTCTTCCAAGTCCCGCCTAAGGAACTTGGATTCACTCCACATCTTTGTCAATGCTGCCACTAAAGAACTGATGTGGTTAAATGACAAAGAGGAGGAGGAGGTGAACTTCGACTGGAGTGACAGAAACACCAACATGACTGCTAAGAAAGACAACTACTCGGTGTGTCTTTATTTATTTATTTTTTTTCTCTTATCCCTGCCCTGTAGATGTTTAGATGCATTGATCAAGTGAATACATGTCTTTCCTCCCAACACTGTATTAACCTCTCAACTGGAATTCTTCAGGGTCTCATGAGAGAGCTGGAGCTGAGGGAGAAGAAAGTCAATGACATCCAAGCCATGGGAGACACACTTGTCAGGGATGGACATCCTGGCAAGAAGACAGTTGAGGTATTAGTTTAGTTAACGCAAATAAACGCACCCACAGTTTAAATGATACTGAGTGAGTCCTTGACTAATCCACTGTCATCATGATTTCTTTATCCATACCAGGCCTTCACAGCTGCCCTTCAGACACAGTGGAGTTGGATCCTCCAGCTGTGCTGCTGCATTGAAGCTCACCTCAAAGAAAACACTGCCTACTACCAGGTACGGGACAATGACATTCATTAAACAAAAAAAAAGTAAGCATTCATAAACATTCATAGCACTGACAGTCAAAATCTATCCCTCATATGATGTCCTTTTCCTGCAGTTCTTTGCAGATGTGAAAGAAGCTCAGGACAAGATGAGGAAAATGCAAGAGAACATGAAAAAGAAATACAGCTGTGATCGCTCCACAACAGCCACACGCCTGGAGGATCTGCTGCAGGATGCTGTCGTGAGTGATGCCTGTTGTACTTGTGCATGATCACATATACTAGCAAAGTTTTGAACTTTATAAGAAAATGTATAATCAATAAGAAAAGACATTAAGATGGTGATGTTGAATCAAACGCTAAATTGTCCTGCTGTTCATGTTTAATATGAACCATTAGAAAAGATGTATTTATTTTATTCTTATGTAGTTTGATTTGATTTATTTTCAACAGGAAGAGAAAGAGCAGTTGAATGAATTGAAGACCATGGTGACTGGCCTGAACAAGAGAGCCAAGTCTGTCATTCAGCTGAAACCACGTAACCCCACCACCTCCATCAAAGGCAAGCTGCCTATTCAGGCTGTCTGCGACTTCAAGCAACAGGAGGTAAGACCACTTACTGGCCACTTCATAGTGATTTATGGCATAATCATACGCAGCCCAGAGAAGTCACACTTGTGAGCCTGAGTATGTGTTTACCTTTCAATCCTGGATTCTGTTTCAGATTACTGTCCATAAAGGGGATGAGTGTGCTCTCCTCAACAACTCTCAGCCCTTCAAGTGGAAGGTCCTGAACCACTCTGGAAACGAGGCGGTGGTGCCCTCTGTCTGTTTCATTGTGCCTCCAGTCAACAAGGAGGCTGTAGACAGTGTGTCCAGGTGAGAACAAAACAAAATATGCCACCCATGTGACAGCTGTCTATATGAACAGAGTAACCCAGCAGCTGTTTTGATACGGCCATTCATTCCAACTATATTTCCAATACTCCGACAGAACAGGGACATGTGGTCTTGTGACTAATAACATTTTCTGTTTCAGAATATTTACAGTATAATTCTTTTGACCTGACTTTTGAGAGACAGAGTATACTACACAAAACGTATAATTGGTAAATGGTTTAGAAAGGCTCTTTGCAGCACTGGGCCTAATCCAACATCTGACACTGTATGACTTATTAATGCTATGGTGTAAAGTTGTGTTCGTTGCTAAATTCCTGCACTGTTTGGATTCCTGTCCTACTCCAGTCTGGATGAAGCTCATCAGCAGATGATGTCCATGTGGCAGATACTCCATATAGACATGAAGAGTCTGCTATCGTGGCAGTACCTGATGAGAGACTTCTCACAGATACGCTCCTGGAACATCACCATGGTAGGTGTTAACACCTTTAAACTATCACACCCATGCTGAACTGGTTGTAAATATAAAACAACATTTAACTGGCAAAAACAAGATACAATTTAAGCCTCCACCACCTGTACTCAGAAAATCAGACCAAGCAGCCTTTTATTATTCTTCTGGTCCTCATTCAGAAGGGAGTGCACTGTTGCTTTGAAGTAAACATTATCCTGTTTAAGAATAAATCAAGTGAAGTGTGAAGTGGATTTCTACTTACAATGTGTGGTGTCATTATCCCTTCCCACTGTTTTCTCCATCCTCTACAGTTAAGGACAATGAAACCAGAGGAATACAGGCTGCTGATAAGGAACATGGAGCTTCATTACCAGGACTTCCTGCGTGACAGCCAGGACTCGCAGCTCTTTGGCCCTGATGACCGTGTGCATATTGAGGAAGACTACACCAAGTCGACACTGCATTTTGAAAACCTGCTTCGCTCCATGGAGAAAGGTTTTTTTGTTTTTGTTTTTTTTTTTCCCACAAAACTTTATTATGTTATGATTATTCACAGATAGATCAAGGGAATATCCAGTGTATAGCAACTTCATAATGTCAATTCACCTTTCAGGACTCAGGGTTGTTAGGCTCAGAGGTGAGTGATTTAAAGCCAGTCTAAGCTACTGCTCACCAAGCTCCTGTGTGTACATGCTTTTAAGCCTCGGATGAAATGTTTAAATATAACCATTAGTGTTTAGATTAGAGTCCTGTGTGACTGCATGTTGTTTTGATTTTGCCTTTTTTTTGCAGTTCTGCACCAAGTAGAGCCCATATGTTGTGGCATAGGCTACAGTATGTTGTGCTTTTTGCCATGCAGTCATGTCACCTACACTACCAGTAGAGTTTGGACACACTTTCTCATTCAATTCAGTGGGAAAGTGTGTCTAAACCTTTGACTGGTGGTGCAATAGTGTGATTATTGAGTCAGATAATACATGCTCTATTGTAAACCGTGTGCTATAAATGTAACGGCTATGGAGCTGTGAGTGTTTAATACACATGAAGAACTGCATGTCCAGAACAACTGTGCTTAACTGAAGTTTAAAGAATATGAACATGCCCTAGTTACATAAAACACCATACTGTATCATGTATACGAATCTCTTACTGTGCAGTTATTTTCAATTTATTCAACATTTCTGTATTCTTGGCCCCTTAAATTTACTTAAAAATCAATTTATCCTTCAACATCAACTTTAGGCCATTTTTTTTTGTCTATCCCTGATGTACTACTCTAATACAAATATGCTGCTATACAGGTCAACAGGACGAGTCTCTGTGTAAGAACTACATCTCTGAGCTCAAGGACCTGCGTCTGCATATAGAAGACTGCGAGGCTCGGACCGTGGCTCGCATACGCAAACCTATGGAACTGGAGCCTCTGAAAGAATGTGCTCAGAAGACAACAGAGCAGAAGGTACTATATTCAAATTAAGTGTTAATACTGTAAGCCTGACCAAGTGGGTTGCAAAGAAAAATATCCATAACATGATCCTTAGCAGCTCACCTATCCTAGAGACAAAACAAATCCCTGGGGTAAAAACTGGTAGTTGAATAATTATGTGATTGGTAAGGAGTGAAAAGGGCTTGTCTCTAATCATATTGTACCAGAATCCATGCGGTAGGGTGTGGAGGTACCAAAAGAGGAATACAGTTTCATGTTGAAGAGCTAGAGCTGCAGTCTGTATGCTTAAAGTGTGAAAATGCAGCGGAGAATTGCAACAGCTTTAAGGTTTGGAATTTGTATGCTGGCCATAAGGAGCTGCAGGAATTGTAGGCCTGCTCTTTACCTTCCTACTAAAGCTGCACTGGTTCCTTCTGATCTGAGACTGTTCAAATTTTGTGCAGTGCCTCTGGTACACAGCAAGCCCCACCATATCTTAAATATCAAAGGTTCCTTGCAGCATATTTCATGTAATTTATTTTGAACTCTACTATGCATTACAGGCTGGTGGCGAATTTATCAGTTGTATTATTATTATTATTTTACTCTTTACACATTAACGCTTCTCTTTCTTTGTTGTACAGAAAGTCCAGGTGGAGCTTGAGGGCCTCAAGAAGGACCTTGATAAGGTCTCTGTAAAAACACAAGAAGTCTTGAACTCCCCTCAGCAGCCTGCCTCTGCTCCTGTGCTGCGGTCAGAGCTTGACCTCACTGTGCAGAAGATGGATCATGCCTACACACTCTCCGTAGTTTATCTTGACAAGTCAGTCCCAAGCCACTTATTCTTAAACTAAAATACACTGTTTATCAAGCTGTTTTATTTACTTTTTGTTTCTTGTCCCAGGCTGAAAACTGTGGAAATGGTCATCCGTAATACACAAGGTGCTGAGGGAGTTCTCAAGCAGTATGAGGACTGTCTGCGTGAGGTTCAAACTGTGCCCAGTGACATTAAGGAAGTAGAAACTTATAGAACAAAGCTGAAGGTAAACAGCATATGTTTCATTTATAGTACTAGATCTTGGCTCTCAGAGATGTAACACTTGCCAGAAGAGAAAGTTATTAAGTGATTGTATATGTAATTCAGAAATACAAATGAGTTCCAAGTAATAAAAGTTCAGCCGAGTCTTGATTAGTGATTTTGACCAAGCTTGCTCACTGCTGACCTGGTTTGTTTTTGTTTGAAACCTGCAGAAAATGCGAGCTGAGGCTGAGGGTGAACAGCCGGTGTTTGATTCCCTGGAAGAAGAGATGAAGAAAGCCTCTACTGTGAGTGACAAGATGTCACGTGTGCACACCGAGCGTGACGCTGAGCTGGACCACTACCGCCAGCTCCAGTCTAGCCTCCAGGACCGCTGGAAGGCCGTGTTCACCCAGATCGACCTTCGTCTGAGGGAACTTGAGCAGTTGGGCCGCCAACTGGGCTACTACCGCGAGAGTTATGATTGGCTGATTAACTGGATTGCCGATGCTAAGCAAAGGCAGGAGAAGATCCAGGCTGTGCCCATCACTGACAGTAAAACTCTGAAGGAGCAGCTTGCCCAGGAAAAGGTATACTGTCTAGCTTTTTTTTTTTTTAAATACCAGCATTCTTTTCAAATTTAAATGAAACTAGTGATCTAAGTTCTTACTTCAAACTTTGTTCAAAACAGAAACTTCTGGAGGAGATTGAGAAGAACAAAGATAAAGTTGATGAGTGTCAAAAATATGCTAAAGCATACATTGATACCATCAAGGTGAGCATTACATAACATTAGTTAGTATTAATGATTGTAAATATTGACATTTGGAACATTAAGATAAAGTGTCTGTGCCATGTCTGATTAATGGAGATGTTTTTCTTTCTTTTCCATTTGTGGTAAATAGGATTATGAACTCCAGCTGGTTGCCTACAAAGCTCAAGTGGAGCCTCTTGTTTCTCCTGTGAAGAAAACCAAACTGGACTCTGCTTCTGACAACATCATTCAGGAGGCATGTTTCTTCAAAACAATATTGGATAAAGTCTCTAAAAGGACAACATCACTACTAATTAGTATCAAAGCCATACTGCATGCACAGCTCCATTTCTAAGTGTTGTTTGTTTCTCCTTGTATCAGTATGTAACACTGAGGACCCGGTACAGTGAGCTGATGACCCTGACTAGTCAGTACATCAAGTTCATCACCAACACACAGCATCGCTTGGAGGACGAGGAGGTGCGTGAAAACTGGCCGAGGATCCCAAACAAACTAGATTCTAACATTAACATAATCAACCAATCAACCAAAAATATAATTAACCAACCACCAAACAAATTTAGCGACCAGTCATTGAAACATATGCATGCACTTTTCCCTGTGTGTCTCACTCACACAGACACTATACACACACATATTTCTTTAATGTATGGGTGACAAATAGTTCCTTGGACATGCTGTAGCTGATTTATCACATAGAGCAGCACACACTTGTTACAGTATGTCATATTTGCATATGTTTTCAGTACTGATCATATCAGTGCTTGGTATATCAAATAAATACAATATGATGCATGAGGTTTGAGTGTGTTTACACTGAGGTAAAACTCAATATCAAATATCAATCAAAGTTGATTATTCAGTTGATGTTTCACTGGGACCGTGACTCTTAGTGTCTAAACCCAGAATAAGTAAAACAGCACAATGTATATTCATAAATGTGTTACTTTAGCTGCTCCACATCCATTCATTGTGTTTTGTGCCACTGTAGAGTTAGAAGGAGGGGTTCTTTCTTTCACTTCTTTTGATTTTCCATTTCTTTCTTATGGCCAATTTATTTCCTCAGGTCAAAATCAAACTTTACCCTCTGTGGTTCAGCCTGGTCATGCTGGACTTCAGCTCTCTCTCTTTTTTTTTTTAATTAAAACAAGTTTAAAGTTTTTAGTTTTTTTTTAACTCTAATATTTTTGTTTCTATGCTTCTCTTAACTGCTTGCCAGTGCTTTGCCATGATGAATGCTTAAATTGTTTGAGCATTAAAGAGGTAAATTATTCTGTATTTCAGGTACCTACTGTACTGTCTACTCTCCATTTCCTTCGTCACCCTAGTGTCATCCTAGCATCTGTGTCTCTCTTAAACTGCATTTCATGGCTTTCCATGGTGTATTTATTTTCTTGTTTTCACAGCAGCCTTTTATAGGATAGCTTCAATGATCCATTCTGTCTCCTAGCCAATAATTCCCTTACTCTACAATCAGCCTTAACCTAATTTACAGTGCTTCCTAAACTTATTGTAGTTACAAGCTAGTTTCCTAACTTACAGTAACAACACCTGAACCTGTTACTGTATCATTGACTTTCTTTTCTGTCTATTTCATATTGTAGCAGCAGTGATTTAAAGAACCTCCAGTGCATGGAATGAAGTGAATGGTGTGAATAATACTCTAACATGAGCAGTTTAGTTTTTATTCTTAAACATTTTAAATGAACATGTCAACTAATGTTTCCACACTTTGCACACATACAGCCTATATAAAAATAAAAATAAAAATAGACACATCATTTTTATACAAAACTGTTCAGGAGAAACCCAACATGAATAACTGCCTATTCAACACATTTACATTAAACATGTATGTCAATAGTCATTATAAAATCAATATGTGTGAAATTACTGTTCATACAGGAAAAATTGTATTTCTGCCACTTATGCAATAAATCTTCATATAAATATTTTCAACAATTTGATTAGCATTAAGGTGATATAATATTTGGAACATACTTGTGATGCAGTTTTAGAAAGTTATTGCTACAGCTAGAGTTGCATGCCATATGATTTTCTTGCTGTGTTGTGACATGATGTTTTGTTTTCATACATTAATCAATGTCATCCCCATCATCTGTTTCTTTCTGAATTGTCTTGTCATGAATCACTTTAATTGCATCGTGAATTTAACATTGCTTTGATGAATGTGCATCTAATTTGCATCTAGTGATTGATCTTTGAGCTAATGTTTAACATTAACAAGGCCTAGGTAATACAGTACATTAAATTGCTCTTATTCCAGTGTGATTATGCTGTGATTACCAGAGTAATTACAATTTTAATCCACACTGTTTTGAGCTAGTTAATGTAAAGTGTTACCTTTATCCTGTCATGCTTGATTATAATCCTTTCTTTTCCATTTGCTTCCACTAATGCAGAAAGCTGCAGAGAAACTCAAAGCGGAAGAGCAGAAAAAAATGGCCGAGATGCAGGCTGAGTTAGACAAACAGAAGCAGTTAGCTGAAACTCACGCACAGGCCATTGCCAAAGCTGAGAAAGAGGCTCGAGAACTGAAACTTAAAATGCAGGAAGAAGTAAGCAGGAGAGAAGTTGCCGCTGTAGATGCAGAGAAGCAAAAGCACAATGTCCAGCTGGAACTGCATGAGCTCAAAAATCTCTCTGAGCAGCAGATTAAGGATAAAAGTCAACAGGTGGAAGAGGCTCTTCAAAGCAGGGCCAAGATTGAGGATGAAATCCATCTAATCAGGATCCAACTTGAGACAACTCTAAAACAAAAGTCTACTGCTGAATCTGAGCTCCAGCAACTTCGTAGCAGAGCAACTGACGCTGAGAAACTCAGAAAGGCTGCCCAAGAAGAAGCTGAGAAACTTCGTAAACAAGTTATTGAAGAAACCCAGAAAAAGCGCATAGCAGAGGAGGAACTCAAACTCAAACTTGAAGCAGAGAAGGAAGCTGCTAGGCAAAAGCAAAAAGCTCTGGAGGAACTTGAAAACCTCAAGTTACAGGCTGAGGAGGCTGAAAGGCAAGTGAAACAAGCAGAAATTGAAAAGGAGAGACAAATCCATGTTGCTCATGAGGCAGCTCAGAAGACTGCTGCTGCAGAACTTAAAAGCAAACACATGTCCTTTGTAGAAAAAACCTCAAAGTTAGAGGAATCACTTAGACAAGAGCAAGGTGCTGTCATTCAGCTGCAACAAGAAGCAGACCGTCTCAAGAAACAACAAGAGGAAGCAGAAAATGCCAGGGAAGATGCAGAAAAAGAGCTAGAGAAGTGGAGGCAGAAAGCTAACGAAGCCCTTCGTCTAAGACTCCAGGCTGAAGAAGAAGCTCACAAAAAGAGTCTTGCTCAAGAAGAAGCTGAGAAACAAAAGGAAGAGGCTGACCGTGAGGCTAAAAAGAGAGCCAAAGCTGAGGAGTCAGCCCTCAAGCAGAAAGATATGGCAGAACAAGAACTTGAGAGGCAGAGGAAAGTAGCTGAGAGCACAGCCCACCAGAAACTCATGGCAGAACAGGAACTGATTCGACTTAGAGCAGATTTTGACAATGCAGAGCAGCAGAGATCCCTCCTTGAAGATGAACTTTACCGCCTGAAGAATGAAGTCATTGCAGCTCAGCAGCAAAGAAAACAGCTAGAGGATGAACTGGCCAAAGTAAGAAGTGAAATGGATATACTCATTCAGCTCAAATCTAAGGCAGAAAAGGAAACCATGTCTAACACTGAGAAGAGCAAACAACTTCTTGAGGCTGAAGCTGCCAAGATGAGGGATCTGGCTGATGAAGCAAGCAAGCTAAGAGCCATTGCAGAGGAGGCCAAGCATCAAAGGCAGGTTGCTGAGGAAGAGGCTGCTCGTCAGAGAGCAGAGGCTGAGAGGATTCTCAAAGACAAGCTGGCTGCAATCAGTGAGGCCACTCGTTTAAAAACAGAAGCTGAAATTTCCCTCAAAGAGAAGGAGGCAGAAAACGAAAGACTCCGACGACAAGCTGAAGATGAGGCTTACCAGAGGAAAGCTCTTGAAGACCAGGCCAACCAGCACAAGCAAGAGATTGAGGAAAAAATAATACTACTCAGAAAATCATCTGAGGCTGAAATGGAAAGACAAAAGGCAATAGTGGACGACACAGTCAAACAGAGACGAGTTGTTGAAGAAGAAATTCGAATTCTTAAGCTCAACTTTGAAAAGGCTTCATCTGGAAAACTTGATCTGGAGCTAGAACTGAACAAACTGAAAAATATTGCAGAGGAAACACAACAAAGCAAGCTCAGAGCAGAGGAGGAGGCAGAGAAACTAAGGAAGCTTGCCCTTGAGGAGGAGATGAGGAGAAAAGAAGCAGAAGAGAAGGTTAAGAAGATTGCTGCTGCAGAGGAGGAGGCAGCCAGACAACGTAAGGCAGCTCAAGAAGAGCTTGATCGTCTGAAAAAGAAAGCAGAAGAAGCCAGAAATCAGAAAGAAGAGGCTGATAAAGAAGCAGAAAAACAGATTGTTGCAGCCCAACAAGCAGCCCTGAAATGCAGTACAGCTGAACAGCAAGTCCAAAGTGTCCTTGCTCAACAAAAGGAAGATAGTATCATGCATAAAAAGCTTAAGGAAGAGTATGAGAAAGCCAAAATGCTTGCCAAAGAGGCAGAGGCTGCTAAGGAGAAGGCAGAAAGGGAAGCAGCACTCCTTCGTCAACAAGCAGAGGAAGCAGAACGACAAAAGGCATCTGCTGAGAAAGAAGCTGCAAATCAAGCCAAAGCTCATGAGGATGCTGAGAGACTAAGAAAGGAGGCTGAATTTGAAGCTGCTAAACGTACACAAGCAGAAGCTGCAGCACTTCAGCAGAAGCACCAGGCTGATGCTGAAATGGCAAAGCACAAACAACTGGCAGAGCAAACATTAAAACAGAAGTCCCAAGTGGAACAAGAGCTCACAAAGGTTAAACTTCAGCTTGATGAAACAGATAAACAGAAATCTGTGCTTGATGAAGAGCTGCAACGCTTGAAGGATGAGGTTGATGATGCTGTAAGACAAAAGACTCAAGTGGAGGAGGAGCTGTTCAAAGTTAAGATTCAGATGGAGGAACTACTCAAACTTAAACTCAGAATTGAAGAAGAAAATCAACGTCTCATCAAGAAAGACAAAGATAACACACAAAAATTCCTTGCAGAGGAGGCTGAAAATATGAAAAAGCTTGCAGAGAATGCTGCTAGGCTTAGTGTGGAAGCCCAAGAGGCTGCACACATGAGACAGATTGCAGAAGACGATCTCAATCAGCAACGAGCTCTAGCAGAAAAAATGCTCAAAGAAAAAATGCAGGCTATACAAGAGGCATCCAGACTTAGAGCTGAGGCAGAGATGCTGCAAAAGCAGAAGGACCTGGCTCAGGAGCAGGCACAAAAGCTGCTTGAAGATAAACAGCAAATGCAACAACGTCTGGAGGAGGAAACAGAAGAATTCCAGAAGTCACTTGAAGCAGAGAGGAAGAGGCAATTGGAGATCTTAGCTGAAGCAGAAAGATTAAAGCTTCAGGTTTCTCAGCTCAGTGAAGCCCAGGCCAAAGCTGAAGAAGAGGCTAAAAAATTCAAGAAACAAGCGGATACAATTGCTGCCCGTCTTCATGAGACTGAGGCTGACGATTTACGCAAAGCTATCGCAGACTTAGAAAAGGAGAGGTCTAGACTGAAAAAGGAGTCTGAAGAACTTCAAAATAAGTCTAAAGAGGTATTGTGTCAAAAATGGCATAACAGAGCAGCGTATGTCATTGTAAACTTTATCTGAAAACTAACACAATTCTTTCTTCAATTTCCTCTATCCTTTTCTTTGATTATACTAAACATGAAACCATATGTTTGATTATAAACACACTTTTAATTTGAATTTTTTACAGTGCACTGTGCTCATGCAGATCATATCCTGAATGTCCCCTCATATCCTGGAATGTTTCTCTGTGTTAAGACACGCTTCATTTTTCTTCTAGTTTTACAAGTCAGTTGCAGTTAACCTAAAATAAACAACAGATTTAACTAAATAATTCAAAATCAGGCAGAATGGCTAATCACGTAGCAGTTTAGGAAAAATGTATCACTGTGGGTCCACATTTCAAGAGATGACCTAGAATTCCATGCAGCCACAGGTTTACTAAAATACTTTACATCCAGAAAATTTTTTAAATCAGAATCAGTCATGTTTATTGGCCAAGTATGTTTAAACACACAAGGAATTTGTCTGTGGTACAGAGGCTTTCAGTGTGCTTGCAAATCAGTGAGAAAAATAGGAAAATATGTACTTTAAAATAGGAAAGAGAATATGAGAAAAAAAGAAAGAATATACACAGATGGTGGCAGAAGAGCCTTCAGACTGTTATGTACAATAGTTATATTTACAATTTATTACATTGGGGGCTGTTGTCCGTTATACAGACTTGGATTAACTGTCATCAGAGGGATAGCACATCAGAAGAAACAGTCCTTGTGTCTGGTTGGTTTGGCCTTCAGTAACCTGTAGTGCCATCCAGAATGGAGGAGTTGAAACAGTTTATGCCCAGGATGTGAAGGGTCTCCTCTGCCACATGGGGCGATGGGTAAAACTTGAGGTGGGTACTGTGGGAGAAGCCAGCATATGCTTGTCAACAAGGAGGTAAGGGCTGTTGCCACACTGATGTAAAATGATGCCAATGAGTTTTAAAGAGATGTTCCACAGCATTTATCATGGTTGGTGTAGGATTAAAAAACTGAGAGATGAAAAAATGTCCACCAAACATGCCACTACTCCAGCAGACTTTATGCTTATGTCTGGCAAGCTAAACTCTGCCACTGGCATGAACATGCTAAACCTTTTCCTGAGTTGTCACCATACCTATTGGGCTTTTCTGCTTTCCATCAGTAGTTTACATTACTGTGGCAACAGCATATACTTCCTTGTTGACAAGCATATGCTGGCTTCTCCCACAATACCCATCACCCCTAGTACAAGAAGGCACCATGTCATTATCATATGGACAATGCCCCATGCAGTGTAGTTTGTAAGGTCATTATTCATACTATTAGAATACACAGACATACGGTTCCTTTCCTTTATGTTTTACTATTTCAATGAGTTCCTTCCTAAAGTCCACACAAGCTATGGCATTATCCCATTAATACTATGCTTTATAAGATGTCCTTACCTTATAAATTAAATATACAGTGGGTACGGAAAGTATTCAGACCCCCTTAAATTTTTTCACTCTTTGTTATATTGCAGCCATATGCTAAAATCATTTAAGTTCATTTTTTTCCTCATTAATGTACACACAGCACCCCATATTGACAAAAAAAAAACACTGAATTTTTGACATTTTTGCAGATTTATTAAAAAAGAAAAACTGAAATATCACATGGTCATAAGTATTCAGACCCTTTGCTCAGTATTTAGTAGAAGCACCCTTTGGAGCTAATACAGCCATGAGTCTTTTTGGGAATGATGCAACAAGTTTTTCACACCTGCATTTGGGGATCCTCTGCCATTCCTCCTTGCAGATCCTCTCCAGTGCTGTCAGGTTGGATGGTAAACGTTGGTCGTCATGTTTAACATGTCATTTTGCTTCAGTGGCATTTTGGTCTGTTTCACCCAGATAGATGAGTCGGTGTGAAAATGTGGGAAAGATGGTCAAAAATGTGATTTAATGTGCTTCTCTTAAAAGCAGTTGTAGGTTTGGTGGTTGAATAAAAATGGGAAGGAGAAAGCTGTGTGACCACACAAAGCAGTTTTGAGTTTTGAGATTCAGTAAATTTGCCACTTCCCCTTTTTTTAACTGTCTTCTTTTTTATGTGGTGTCAAATCTGTGAAAAAGAAAACATTTGTTTGTACATGACCCGGTTGTACTTTTCCTCAGATGCCTGGTAATATCTAACATCTTCAGAATGAATCTAAATGGTAAATCATAATAATGTGGTTTATGATGACATATGAGTGCACTTTTCAAAGTACTCTACATCAGGATATTTCATTCTGACTGACAAGATGTACTTAACATGTACTTACCAAACAAACAAAAACACTATCTTTATAATAATGACCCTCATCAGTCAAATTAAATATTCTTCATATTTTATATTAGAAAACCAGACAGGAAAATGTTGTTTTTACTGCGCCAACCAAACCAGTGCTTTCAGATGAAGACTTTTAAAGTGTAGGTGAAAACTAAAAATCGACAGTATGAATCTTTCATCACAGGAACTCACAGGAATTGCACATTAAATAGTTTATTATTGAAAGAAAAGTGGATGAATAAATCAATTATAAAACAAACACAAGTGAGAATACATGGAGGACTGCAGACTTAATCTAAACGATATCCGGGACTCACCGCTCAGCAGGGAGGGATTTCATTCATGAAGTGCTGGAGGAAGAAATGGGAGGATGTCTGACCTTCGCTCCCATACTTATGTCTGTGACAGGAGGTTTTAATAGATCTGCAAAAATGTCAAAAATTCTGTGTTTTTCTGTCAATATGGGGTGCTGTGTGTACATTAATGAGGAAAAAAATGATCTTAAATGATTTTAGCATATGGCTGCAATATAACAAAGAGTGAAAAATTTAAGGGGGTCTGAATACTTTCCGTACCCACTGTATATATATTAATTATAACACTTTAGAGTGCAACTAACACATGAAATGCAATTATTTGCATCAAACAGTGAGCATCAAATCTTTATATGCTAAAACTGCTTCAGTCAAGAAGAAATTGCACAAAAAGCTACACTATTTAAGCAGATGAGAGTCAGCAAAATAGTATTCATCATAGTGGACAATCAGCAGAATATTATTTCAGTGTCAGTTTATAAAGCATTTCTCTAAATTTTTAGGCCTAGTGCTTCATAATCTAGAGAGGCCAGGTCAGTGTTTTTCTCAACTAGATTGCAACACTCTCAGGCATAATACCTGAATTTTTCTAATATTATTTTAATCTACTGTGACTTATTGATAAGCAGAGCCACCAACAAGTTCCTACAAATAAAAATGTATTGTTTTTGACAATAAAGTGATATTTAATTATGAATCTTGTAAAAAAAAAAAAGGATGCTAGAGAAAATGTGCTTATTTAGAAAAAAACACAGAAAATGAAAACTAAAATCAAAAATGAATTACTACACAAAAAGTGAAGAAAGCGCACGCCTTCATTTTGGGACAGTTTTAACGATTTTAGTTGTGCATAAGCAGAGTGCATTGTCCAAACTGTATTCATTATAAATTAAATAAACATTATAATAAAATAGCATGAATTTAAGACGTCAATATTTTAATATGTGTCTTAGCTATAAACCTATTGCAATTTATGTTTTCTATTGTGTTTTCAATCAGATGGCTGATGCACAGCAGAAACAAATCGAACATGAGAAGACAGTGCTCCAGCAGACATTCCTAACAGAGAAGGAGATGCTGTTGAAGAAGGAGAAGCTCATTGAAGATGAGAAAAAGAGGCTAGAGAGTCAGTTTGAAGAGGAAGTCAGAAAGGCCAAGGCTCTCAAAGATGAACAAGAACACCAGAAACAGGTGATGGAAGAGGAGAAGAAGACACTCCAGGCTACAATGGATGCGGCCTTAAATAAGCAAAAAGAGGCTGAGAAAGAGATGCTTAACAAGCAAAAAGAAATGCTAGAGCTGGAAAGGAAGAGACTAGAGCAGGAAAGGATTCTTGCAGAAGAGAACCAGAAACTGCGTGAGAAGCTGCAGCAACTTGAGGGAGCACAGACTGATAAAGTTACAAAGAAAGAGACTGTCCATGTAACAATGGTTGAGACAGCAAATAAAGTTTATAACGGCCAAAACGCTGGTGATTTGGTTGACAGCGTGGCGAAGAAACCAGACCCGTTAGCTTTTGATGGCATCCGTGATAAGGTACCTGCAAGCAGGCTTCATGACATTGGTCTTTTACCCAAGAAGGACTTTGACCAACTGAAAAATGGCAAAATCACTGTGCAAGAGCTTGGTGAAACAGAAAATCTAAGAAGAATTCTTAAAGGAAAGAACTGCATTGCTGGTGTTTTAACACCATCTAATCAAAAAATGTCAATATATCAAGCATCAAAAGAGAAGAAGATTACTCCAGGCACATCCATGATCCTTCTTGAAGCCCAGGCAGCCACAGGTTACATTTTAGACCCCATTAAAAACCAAAAACTTTCAGTTAATGAGGCTGTCAGGGAAGGCTTGATTGGCCCTGAACTGCATAACAAAATGCTTTCAGCTGAGAGGGCTGTTGTTGGATACAAAGATCCATACACTGGAGGGAAGATCTCTGTCTTTGAAGCTATGAAGAAGGGTCTCATAGAGCCTGATCATGCCATCAGAGTTCTTGAGGCTCAGCTTGCAACTGGTGGCATCATCGATCCTATCAATAGTCACCGTGTACCCATTGAAACAGCCTACAAGCAGGGACAATATGATGCAGAAATCAATAAGATTATGGAGAACCCTTCAGACGACACAAAGGGATACTTTGACCCGAGCACTCAAGAACCTTTGACATATTCTGAGCTAATGTCAAGATGCAACACTGACCCTGACACAGGTCTGTTACTCCTGCCAATTACAGATAAAGCTGCTCAGTGCTCAAGTATATACACAGAGGAGGAGACCAAGGATGTGTTCAACAAAACAACTGTGTCTGTGCCATTTGGAAGATTCAAGGGAAAGACTGTCACCATTTGGGAACTAATCAATTCTGAGTACTTCACTGAAGACCAGAAGAAGGACCTTCTCCGTCAATATAAGACAGGCAAAATCACAATCGAAAAAATCATCAAGATTGTGATTACTGTGACAGAGGAAAAGGAGAAGAAGAATGAAATTACATTTGATGGTCTGAGAGAACCTGTCCCTGCCACTGAGCTCCTGGAATCTAAAATCATCGATAATGACCTGTACAATGAATTACAAAAGGGTAATAAGACAGTCAAAGAAGTGTCTGCAATGGAGCTTGTCCACAAAGCACTGAAGGGCTCAAACTGCATTGCAGGTGTAGTTATTGACTCATCCAAGGAAATAATGTCTTTCTATCAAGCTATGAAAAAAGACATGATGAGGCCAGGGCCTTCTTTGAATATGCTTGAAGCCCAAGCAGGAACAGGGTATGTGGTTGACCCTGTTAATAATCAGAAGTACACTGTTGATGAAGCTGTCAAAGCAGGTGTTGTTGGTCCTGAGCTGCATGAAAAGCTCCTGTCTGCAGAGAGAGCTGTTACAGGCTACAGAGATCCTTACACTGGAAAAACTGTATCTCTGTTCCAGGCAATGAAAAAAGATCTCATACCTAAAGAACAAGGAATTCGATTGCTTGATGCCCAAATGACTACAGGTGGTATCATTGATCCAGTAAAGAGTCATCGCATTCCTCATGATGTGGCCTGCAAGAGAAATTATTTTGATGACAAAATGAAACAGATTCTGACCAGCCCAAATGATGAAACTAAATGTTTTTTTGACCCTAACACAAAAGAGAATGTCACATACTCACAGCTCTTCAAGAGATGTGTCACTGACAAAAAAACAGGTCTTCAGCTTCTTCCTCTTTCAGACGAAGCAATCATTTCAAAGGAGGAGCCAACGTATACTGAAGTCCAGACAAAAGAGGCCATGACTCAGGCAACTGTGGAGATTGACTCTGAACCATTTAGGGGAAAGAAGATGACTATCTGGGAAATCATCAACTCTGAATATCTCACTGAGGAGCAAAGGCAAGACCTGCTCAGACAGTTCCGGTCAGGAAAGATTACAATTGAAAAGATTATTAAGGTTGTTATAACAATTGTCAATGAGAAAGAGACCAGGAAACAAGAACAGTCCAGCTTCAAGGGAATCAGAGCTCCTGTCCCAGCAAGCTCACTATATGATTCCAAAATCATTGACAAACCAACCTTTGACCTCCTCCAACAAGGCAAAACAACACCTAAACAAGTCAGCCAGAATCCCAATGTCAACAAATACCTCCAGGGATCTGATTGCATTGCTGGCATCTACTTAGAGCCTACAAAAGAGAAAACAAGCATTTATCAGGCAATGAAGAAAAAACTCCTCAGACACAATACAGGTCTTTCACTTCTTGAAGCCCAGGCTGCCACTGGGTTCATTGTAGATCCAGTGAGGAACCAGTGTTTGTCAGTAGATGAGGCAGTGAAGTCAGGACTTGTTGGTCCAGAGCTACATGAAAAACTTCTCTCTGTAGAAAAAGCTGTCACTGGCTATAAAGATCCATTCACGGGCAACAAAATCTCCCTCTTTGAAGCAATGCAAAAAGGTCTCATCCCGAAAGAGCATGCCATGCCACTGCTGGAGGCACAGATGGTTAGTGGAGGAATCATTGACCCTGTAAACAGCCACCGTGTCCCAGTTGAAGTTGCATATCAAAAGAACATATTCAGTAAAGAAACTGCAAAGACCCTGTCTGAACGATCTGATGATAATAAGGTTTTCTCAGACCCAGAAACAGATGAGAATGTAACCTACAGACAACTTAAAGACAAATGCCAAAGAGATCCAGAGACAGGCCTGTATATCCTCCCACTCTCCAAGCCTCAGTCTCCAACTGTTGTGGAGAAGACATATCTTTACACAGAGGAGCAAACACAGAGTGACCTGACCAACACTCAGATTGACATTCCAACTGAGGGCCTTGCTGACAAACATATGAACCTCTGGGAAGTGATGAACTCAAATTTGCTTCCAGAAGCAGAGAGGAAGAGGCTCATGGATGAATATCGCTCTGGTAAAATTACCAAAGAGCGGATGATCATCATTATTATTGAGATCATGGAGCAGAGAGAGATCATCAGAAATGAAAGCCCACTGTCATGTACAACTATAAGGAGAAAGATAACTATTGAGGAGCTCTATAATGCCCGCATCATTGACTTGGAGACATACAACCTACTTATGCAAGGCAAGAGGGATATCCGTGACATAATGGAGATGACAAGTGTCAAACAGTATCTCTATGGTACAGGCTGTGTTGCTGGGTTCACAACTGACTCAAGCTCCAAGATGAGCATATACCAAGCAATGAAGAAAGGTTTAATTAGTCCAGAAACAGCCCTCACACTCTTAGAAGCCCAAGCTGCTACAGGATTCATTGTTGATCCAATAAAGAATGAGACACTCACTGTTGATGAAGCTGTTCGTAAGGGTGTTGTTGGTCCTGAAATCCATGATAAACTTCTCTCAGCTGAAAGAGCAGTCACAGGATACAAAGATCCATACAGTGGGAAAATCATCTCTCTTTTCCAGGCCAAGAAAAAGGATCTTGTTCCAGAGGAATATGCTCTGAAAATGTTAGAGGCACAAATTGCCACCGGTGGCATTATAGATCCAGAATTCCAGTTCCATCTGCCAGCAGACATTGCCGTACAAAGAGGTTATATCAACAAGGAAACCAATGAGAGACTGGCCACTGATGTTAAAGGATTCACTGACCCTGTCACTGATGAGAAACTGTCATATGCACAGCTGCTCAAGAGATGTAAGTTAGCTGGTGGATTGTGCCTCCTTCCCCTGGGAGACAAACGGCCAACACTCAAGGGTCTGAGGAAACAAATCACAATAGAGGAGCTGCTCCGCTCACAAATAATTGACCAGCAGACTGTCACTGAACTGAATGAAGGTCTCATTTCACTGGAGGAGATAAGCAAGAGGCTATCAAAGTACCTTGAGGGCACAAGCTGTATTGCTGGTGTATTTTTAGAGTCCTCAAAAGAACGCCTATCAGTTTATCAGGCCATGAAGAGGAACATAATTAGGCCAGGCACTGCTTTTGAGCTCCTTGAGGCACAGGCAGCCACAGGTTATGTCATTGATCCAATCAAAAACCTCAAACTGACTGTCAATGAAGCAGTGAGTATGGGAACTGTGGGCCCAGAGTTCAAAGACAAGCTTCTCTCTGCTGAGCGTGCAGTGACAGGATATAGAGATCCTTATTCAGGCAAGACAATCTCCCTGTTCCAGGCCATGAAAAAGGGGCTCATCCTGAAAGATCATGGTATCCGTCTCCTGGAAGCCCAGATTGCAACTGGTGGAATCATTGACCCAGAGGAAAGTCACCGTTTGCCAGTTGAGGTGGCCTACAAACGTGGCTTCTTTGATGAGGAAATGAATCAGATCCTATCAGATCCATCTGATGACACCAAAGGTTTCTTTGATCCTAACACTGAGGAAAATCTAACCTACCTCCAGCTCATGGAGAGGTGTATCACTGATCCTCACACTGGCCTGGTGCTCCTGCTACTTAAAGAAAAGAAGCGAGAAAGAAAGACCTCCTCTAAGTCCTCAGTTCGTAAACGCCGAGTTATCATCATAGATCCAGACACAGGCAAGGAAATGACTGTGTATGAGGCCTATAGGAAGGGGCTCATAGACCATCAAACCTACCTGGAGCTTTCTGAGCAGGAGTGTGAATGGGAAGAGATCACCATGACTTCCTCTGATGGGACAGTCAACTCAATTATCATTGACAGGAGGTCAGGGAGACAGTATGATGTTGATGACGCTCTTTCTCGTGGCCTCATTGACCAAAATTCTCTTGATAAATACCGAACTGGACACCTGGCCATCACAGAATTTGCTGACATGTTATCAGGAAATGTGGGAGGCTTCCGCTCACGCTCATCCTCCTTTGGATCTACCAGTGGTTCCACCTACTCTTCACCTATGAGCCCCATACCTTCCATTAAACCACCTGCAGTTATATGGAATGACCCCACAGAGGAGACTGGCCCCATAGCTGGAATATTAGACATAGATACGCTGGAAAAAGTGTCTATCACTGAAGCAATGCGCAGAAACCTGGTAGATAGCATCTCAGGCCAAAGACTGTTGGAGGCCCAGGCCTGCACAGGAGGAATAATTGACCCCTCAACTGGAGAGAGATTCTCAATCACTGATGCTACAGAAAAAGGCCTTGTTGATAAAGTAATAGTTGATCGCCTCAATCTGGCTCAAAAAGCATTCAAAGGATTTGAAGACCCAAAGAGTAAAGTAAAAATGTCTGCCTCCCAGGCGCTAAAGAAGGGCTGGGTGTATTATGAGGCTGGCCAGCGTTTCCTTGAGGTCCAGTATCTGACTGGTGGCCTTATTGAGCCTGATGTTGAGGGCAGAGTGTCACTAGATGAATCCATCAGGAAGGGCGCAATCGATGCTCGCACTGCCCAGAAACTGAGAGATGTCGGTGCTTATTCTAAATATCTAACATGTCCAAAAACCAAACTAAAAATCTCCTTCAAAGATGCCATGGACAGAAGTATGGTCGAGGAAGGATCTGGCCTAAGGCTTCTGGAGGCCTCCTCCCAGTCCAGCAAAGGTCTCTACAGTCCCTACAATGTCAGTGGCTCTGGATCAGCCTATGGCTCTCAGAGTGGCTCAAGAACTGGATCCCGATCAGGCTCCAGGAAGGGCAGCTTTGATGCCAGCTCTGGCTTCACCTCAACCTTCACATCCTCCTCCTTCACAACCTCTTCAACTAGCTACAGTCCGAGATTCTGATTAGCTAACTCTCTTGTCACTAAGAACCAGCAGCCCTAATGCCTTTTACAGTTATATTTCTCACAGCAAAAATAGTTACAGTAGCAAAGAAAATATAACTTATTTATTCTGCCTTGCATGCAGTCACATCAAGAATTGCCTAGGCTATTTTTCCCCTATAATTCCTTATATCTAAATATGTGCCTAATACATGAAGACATAATCAAACATTGCTAGATATAAAAATAGTAAGTTCCTCTAGTATTGATTTATATTTTTCCAAAGCAAAGCATGGGATTTCTGCTGTTTTTAAGTGACTTTATATTTTTAATTTTACAAATTAAAACTTGTATACTTGTGCTTTCTGAAACTAAAATATGCTGTATCTATGTCAAACAGAAATATTTTTTCCAGTGTTCCCTGTTTTCTTTGAAATTCAAGAATATCTGTCTATTTTGTATTTTTTGCAACAGTGCTACATAATGAGATACTGTATGTAAACATAGTTCTAATATTTTTAACACATCCTAAAATACACAGATGCCTTCAGATGAATGTTTGTATAGAGTATGGGTAAAGTTTGTGTTAATGTTATGTTAAATGCTACCTGGGTAACAAAATAAAATACCCAGTAAGAAAACACCTGTGAGACAGTACAAAATGAGAAACTAAAAATTACAACACTGAAAACAAGTGCCAGGACTAAAATTCTGCACAATGTTTTGAAACCCGTTTCACATCTGTCATTACTTTGTACTTGTTTATATTCAGTGGACTTTTGCATCCTTTGAGTTCATTGCATCCTTTGAGTTCATTATACCATAGTTTAACACTCCAAGTTTTGGACTCTTCATATCCACCATCAATCAAGTGTTCCTGATAAATCCCAAGATGATGCCCATATAGACCTGCATTCTGTTATTTTGGTTCTTGTAAGTTGAAATTATTATTTTTTTATTTTTGACTTATGTTTGCTTTGTTGTAGGTTGATTTTGATCACATGTCAGAAACTAGATTAAGCATTTTCTTTATGCCATTTTACCTATACTACACATCACCTTGATGATATTAGTAGCAAAACAATTCTGTTAACTAATAAAATGATCTGCTAATATCTGTTGATTGAGGTTTTTTTTATATATATATATGTATATATACACTTGTTTTGACAGCTGCGTCAGTCCCTCAGAATCCAGCATCTGAATAGGGATACTCAACGGGCTAGAGTGTGCAGTTCCCTCAACATGGATGGATTTGTGAGTCCATGTCATCGTCATGCAGTAACGCAGGTACTGTTTCAAATTATTTTTGACAACATTATTTCATTTTCATTTCATTTGCAAATTTAAGTTTCATCGAGCTATGTTTTTGCAGTTTTGTTCTAATTTCATTTTTCTGTTGCATGGTTTAGCTTACTTTGATTTTAATTCATAGTTATTTTTTTTAATTTCTAGATCTGCCATTGAGTATGCCTTTTTCTTCCATTGCACATCACATCTGAAGACAGCAGAAGCTCAGTCAGCAACATCTTGGGATGCCTTTCTAGGAACACTTCTGATTTATGGCTTTTTTGCATATATTTATGACATGAGTGCTAATAGTAATATTTATATTGTCATATTCTGAAGCTTTTAGAGGATGTTCCCAAATAAAGCACACATCTGCATCTACATTCTTTCATTTAAATTGGAAATGGTTGTATACAAAAATGCATCTTCATTTCACTAGTCTTAAGTCCACTGCGTATGTTTTCATTGTCTCTAATTGTAAATTTAGTGCAACCAAAGCGTTAGTGAAAGAAATTTGGAGAATTGACATATTTGACACAGCACCACATTGCATGAATGTATATTTATATCAAATTAACTCATTTCAGTTGACATTTTGCCACAGATCTCTTTTGCAAACTGAAAAAGAGCGTGAAGCTTTATAGTTTTTTCTTCCACAGCAAGTATTTCTTTTATGCATCTCTAGTGTTTTACCTTTGTAAATCTCTTTTTGATTTTGTGTTTTTGATATATTATGAATTTTCCTTGCATGTTTTACAAACTATAAAAAGTATATTTGGGAAAAAAAATATATGTAAAATAAAGACGACCACAGATGTAACTGTGCTGATTTTTATTTTAGCAATATATGATATCACAAACTAACTTGATTTGGCTTATGGGTCAGATTTTGCTTTAAAATATATGGTGTGTGGATTCCATTTTATGTTCTGAATATAACATGATGTTGTAAATAAATGTGCTTTGAAGAGTCCCTCTTGTCATTCATACATCAGTACTCATCTAAAGCTATTTTTAGGGTAAAATGTGTTTTTATTGTTCCTCCCTTATAGACCACTCACAACGCAGTGTAGCACTGTGTAATGCCTATTGTTCATCCTTCCAAGTAATCCACATCAGTGTTAGAGCATGATATCAATAGAGCAGCTAGTTCTACAGGTTAACATAACTATAGTATACAAAGACAAGTAATAGCTTAATGCCTGGCAAATACTGGATTTAAAGGGTAATGTCAATAGTGTAAACATGTCACAGTTGAAGTCACTTATTTTCCAGTGTTTACATGTATCTTCTTTACAACTACATTGAAAGTATATTTTAAAAAGTGATAACTAGTGTTTATAATAGTAGAAAACAATATTAATATTCTGTTAAAGGTTGATATCATAGTGTTAACTGTACCTAGCTCAGAAGCAGTAGTTGACCACATGAGGGCAGTGTTGGACTGACTCACACTCATCCCAGGGGAAACATGAGAAGTAGGTGAATCGCAGCTACTTGGTCCATCATCTATTCTACAGTTGATTAGATTGTAAACACCACTAAGGTTTATTTGTACTGTAATGATTAGGCATTTATGAAAATAATGAGGGCCTCCACAAAATGACTTATTTAAATGTTTTACCCCAGAAATGTATGTGCTCAGCATTCACATGATCATTGGAATTCAGCTCTTCACTGGACATTCCTGGTTTGCAGGAATGTTGTCTTCATAATACAGTATGTACATACTGTACACATTTTGCTCTGTGTACCAACATTAGCCACTGGATATGATGGAGGAGGCTGCCATCAGAAGCAATGGGGCATTCACCTCCCAGAATTCTTCACTCAGCTCCCTTGACTACTCAGATCTGACCCTTTCCCTCCCAGCTCTCCCTGCATCAGAGACTGGAAGCAGAGAGGTAAGAACACAGAAAACAGTCTAAGATATACAGTAATGAACTGTTGAACTGCCCTAACATCAGCAGAAGAAAACACAAGAACTGGTGCATTTATTTACCTATTCATTCATTCATTATTTCTTTTTTAAATGGTTTATTGCAGGATGATGAAAGTGCTTTGTTTGGATCACCAACACCTACATCACAGGATCAGAGACATGGGTATGCAAAATGTTTATAGTTGTATTAGGCAACCTTTGTCCTTGACAAATTATAACATTTGTAAAATCAGTTTTTTTGGGAGGAAATATTGAATGTTGTGTTCCAATATCATTGCAAATACTTGGCATAGGTATTTTTGAAAAACGAAAAAGCAAATGTTGTAATCCAAAGGAATGAATCCTGCATGAAGTGGCCTCCAACAGCCAGATTAAACAAAACTCATAGCCTGTGATGGCACTTGGTCAGCTGTATCAGCTTTGTAGGCCGTGCATCTGCATTTGCCAACAGCACAAAGACAGTGTTGTGAATTGTGAAGTAGACACACTGTGTAAATCAAAGCATACTGAAACAAGAGAACTAAAGTATCAGTCCAGGGAGGCCAGATGCCTCCCTAATGACATGTTTTACTTCAACTGAGGAGCCCTGCCTGCATTGTCTTTTGATGAGAAAAACAGTTGCTTGTTTTAGTTCATCCTACTTTTGTACAGATCCTGACTGTGTTGCTGTGTGTTCCTTCCACTGCAGTAAGGGATCATTCAAATTTCATCTTATTGTAATAAACTTAATCAAAAATAGTTCAGCATCCAGCTGCTATTCCAGTACTACCATCGCACAGCATCACCATCACTGTGGTGCAAAATTAAGCCACAGAGGTTTGTGGTAATGACCACATCCCCATGCCACAAAACTATATGACTGTAGATCTTATATTAACACTGGCATGAGCAGTGCTCATGAAGCCATAACAAACCAATGGCATAAGATAGTGCATCAGTTCATGCACTTACCAATATGTAATGTCAGACAGATGTGTAGAGTTATATTACATGAAGAAAACCAGTCCATCTACTGTATATAGTGGTTTAATTGGTGACATTGGTAAATGCACTTCATTTCCCTTACTGTATGTACTTTAAGTGTAAAATATGATAAATATAAGTTCTTATACTTTCAGTTGTTTCTGTATTTAAGGCAGGATGTGGAGGACTTGAGCCAATGGCAAAGTGAGTTCAGGGGCCAAATCAGAGCACTGAGACAGTGGCTGAAATGCATGGAAATGAGGCTACTCCCTTTGGACCCCAAGGTCAGTTTAATTTGTGGCTTGCTTACTGTTGTTAGTCTACCTCTCCCGCTTTATCTGTTTCACCACATCCCATGTTCAAGTTGTCAGAGAGTCTGACAAGGTTTTTGACAGCTCCATCTAATTTACCTGTTTTGGCTTCCCACAAAACCAATATTTTGGTTTTTACCCTAGAAATGGATCTTATCCTGTTATAAAACTCATTAGCAGGGAGTGTTAGAAACTGTGTAAATCCTGTCAGTGTAGTCTACATCAGAAAACAAAATCCATCTGTCATGTCTCTGCTTTCTTTCTCCCTCCTCTTTCATTGTGTATCTCCATTTAACTACAGTTGTTCTGCAAAGAAACTTGTGGGACCTATGTTCTTTTCACACTGAGAAGCAATGAAACAACATTTCACTTTTCTAGTCAGCATGCTAACATGCGTGATGTTTAGCAGGTACAATATGTTTATTCATTATCTTAGTCTAAACACAAAGAGCAACTGGGGCAGGTAAGAATGTCATTATTTAGCAGACATTGGATCATGAACCTTACACTGAGAAAAAAGGTCTGTTGGATTTACATAAAGAATACGGGCATCAGTTGCAGATAATAAAATTGTATTTACTATGTTTACTGAATATTATTCATTTATATTCAAAGCACTGAATTTGTATTTCTTAAACAAACAAAAAAAAATTTCATGTTAATTTAAGGCTTTCTTTTGAAGTTAAATACATTAAATTGCACTTTATTAAACAAACAAGACATTTTAACATTAATTTAAGGCATTTCTATAAACCATAAAATATTTTCACTTAAAATGATTTCAGTCTTGAAAATAGCTCAAAGTCCTGCTACTTATCTGTTCATCTACTGTACAGTAATTGTGTGGGTAGATAGAAAAATGAACACAACTTGAATGTATCTCTCCTAAAGTATGTTCTGCCTCCTTTTAGTTTGCCCTGTAAAGCTTTCTGTATCACACCAACCTGTTGCATTACATACAGCAACAGCACCACATCAGCACAGATTGTTTAATTTTAACAGTGGTAAAACTCACACCTGTAAATAATATCTGAGAGGACAGATAAAGAAGGAGGAGGAAAATGAACCAATAAGGTCAATAAAGGTCAGTATACTATAAGTTTAATTAATTGAGAATTATGCAAATTTTACAGAGTTCAACAAATTTAGATGGATACCGAGGTGGTCCTTATTTACTCCAGCAGGAAAACTTCAGGCCACAGGGGGGACAGAGGGGCTGGGGAATCGGGCTCTATTGTGCCTACCCTAGACAGCTAGGCAAGAGAAGCCTTTGGCACTGGAGGCCCTCTGCACACATGAGCGAACACACAGAAAAGACATTAGACTCAGATGGGAGGAAGCAGCAAAAGGGGCATAAAAAGAAAAGCAGAATCTTTATGGTAAGAGCAGTCAGATCTGACTATTGAGGCATTTACTGAACACAAGTATAGATTTTGTTATACAAGCATGTATACCAATATTTATACAAGAATTTGTCAGCACTGAAGCCAATAATTGTGTTACCGGCTGGGTTAAACATAGTATGTCTGGCAAATCTGGATGAACAGTTTGTTAAGTGGGGACCTACAAACTTTATCTTGATAAATGCTAAAACACAGTGTAACAGTTACACAAATGAAAGAAGAGCCAGTTATACAGCAATTTCAATGAAAGGTTTGCTAATATTTGCTAATATTCATCACATTAAGCTAATGGTCTTACCAGAACAAGTCAGGCTGCACCAGCAACAACCCCGGGTGTATCAGATTGAATATTTTATGGCTTGTGAATTTTACTTTTAATTTGTAAAAATAGGGTTGTGTGTCATTTATGTATTTATTTTTTTGTGTAGTCTTGCTTTAAACAACAATCAGTTTGTTAACAAGTTAACCTTAGCATTAGCAAAGCAAATGGCTGCTTTTAGTTAAAAAATATTTTTTAGGTTTTTTTTTTTATCTGTTTCTGACAGAAGCCCCTGTTTCCCTGGGGACTGGCATGTAAGACACAGGCATGTCTAACCATGTCATGAAAGCTTGAATACTCAGTAGTGCTATAGTCTGACTCCTGGTGAGTGTGTGAATTATGGGGCTGTCTTTGTATCTCTACCATGCCTTAATCATACTGCATCTGACCATAGAGCTTTGTCATTGTAGTGCTGTTAATCTGCAGCACTGCTGGTTTCAGTCTGGGCCCGAGGGACTCGTTAGTTAGTAGAATGAATGAGGACATCCCTGAGCAGCACCCCGGTTTCCTCCACAATACACAGGAGAAAGACACACACCTGCTTATTAGACATGCACTGGCACATCTGAAGCTGTATTCCAGTGAAAACTGGGATATATATGAGCTGCAAATTCTAGGTTGTCAAGCGTGAATACAGTAAGTTATTAAAATGGAAATACAATGCAGTTTGTGAATTCATAGCCTATGGACCAAGGTAGCCTAAATATGGAGAGATTTTTTAATAGAATAAGGACTCAAAGAGCAAATCATCAGTTCACTAGAACATTTGACAAATTAGGCATGGATGATACACATAAAACCTTCTGTTACTTTACTTTTCTTACTTTAAATTGACATCACAGTATCAAAAGTTAAAAGGATAGCTACCTTGAGGTGATGTAGCCATGTCTAAAAGTGCATTTTGCTGTCATGTTGGCCGAAACAACATCATATAAATATGTGATGGCCAAAAAATATGATTTAGTTAGTGTGCTAAATTATTAGATTATAAGATATTTTCTCAGTAAATTTTATAATACCAGCTTTGGACCTGGGCTGAAGTCTGGCATGTGCTCATACCTTGCCATACATAATTTATGGCAATGATGACAGTAGTTTGTAAACTCACCTCATGAAATGTTTGTCAGAGTTTGTCATCTATAGTGCAATTTACAGCAATAACAGAAAGTACTGTGCATGCATGTATAGCTCCCAGGACAGTGATGTCCAACTAAATGTATTTATACTGGAGCAGGTACTTGTGCAGTTGCTATAGGGTCAAGATGTGCAGCAGGTCAGATGAAAAAATTGAAAGTATGATTGGGTAAAAAATGCATACATGTTCACATACTGGTGTGACGCTGATCCTTATTTTATCTGTCACAATAACCAGCATGCTATACAATAAACAAGAGCTGTTAGTAGCAGACTGTCATTGATGGGGTTAATCAAGCCGAGAAACATCACGTCCTGTCCCATTTTCACCTGATTAATCAGACAGTGTGTAAGATCTTAGTTAATGTGCCTTTAAATAACAGGCAGTTATGAATTTTGAAACATCAGTGAAGGGGTACTTGGACGTTTGTCAAACAAGGGTTGGAAACCACTGGTCCAGAATCTGATTCCCCCACCCCCTGCTGATGAGCTTCTTCTAGATAAAGGCTCTCTGTGTCTGAAAGGTCTCTGGTTTCCCTGGGCCTGTGGCAGATGCTGCATCCCAAATAATCCATGTACACACATAAATTACAACCAGGCCTGGCCAGGTCTGGAAAGAGGGGTGAGAGATCACAGCCTCCTTGCTTCTGTTTCCAACATCCGCAAACAGATTCTCTGCTCCCTAACACTGTCCTAACCTTTAGGAACAAGGGGGCTTGTTTTCTTAACTCCCAATCACCTACAGGGCAAATGAATAAAGTTGGCAATAAATAACCTATTTATTCTATACATGATCAATTTGAGATTAAATCAGACACCTTTTTCTCTTGGTGGTGTGTCAAATTGATATTCATCTAAATGCACTATAGGCAAGATCTCCTTCTAGAGATATTTTGGTTCATGTGCTTTTTCAGGGTTAGTGACAATGGGGGTGGGGGCTCCTTTAATGCCCATTCCTTCCTATGCTTCATGGAAAATACAGACTTATGTCAGCAAATCCTGTCTTCCTGGGAGCATTTGAATCAAACAAGCA